GTGGTTAGGAAGGTACATCCAAGGTGAGATCCATGGCAGAACTGTATAATGTCACGATTCGTGGGTTTTTCATGGTTTTCTTATCAATTTCATTCTAGATTCATGAAATTCACCAATCATTCTAATCTATATTGACAATGATGAATCAACATATCATTCAGTTCGTCGAATATGACGTCAGATCCGAAAATACTCAACATTTTTTTCTGGTTGAAAGTACATCAAGGGTTTATGTATTTATTCCGCTCATTTTTAATTGGAACTCAGAAGATATGGTGCATATTTTTATATTTGTTTGACGAGAAAAGTCCCATCATTTTGTGATTCTTCATCATATCTCTGAAATAATGTACAAAAATCAGGACCACTCATCAAATTTTGCAAAATATATACCCACTGCCTGACTGACAGAAAACGCTCCAAGCCATAAGACCATTAATTGTCCAATTTTTATGACCAAAAGTTGATATAATAGTTTCGATAATGCTGTGTTGCCACTTCTATTAGAAAGTAGTAGCAACTTTGTTATTTCAAATAGAACACCATGTATTCCATTACAATTTTAGATTCTCCCTGAAGAGCTGATTCCGTCAATGCATCATACGGGGTGTCTAGCAGGAGTGATTAAGTGATATACGGTTTCTAAAATCGAGATTTTCGACTGCAGGATTTTTTTTTTGTCGAAACTATTCATTATCGGTCAAAATAGCTATCATGTCCCTATCTCAACGTTTGATTTGATATGATATCTACTGTCATCTAATTCGAAAAAATACTGGGTGGTTCAAGATTCAGAATTCGGATCAGCTTGTATCAGTTCCAAATAAATGTTAGTAGATAGTAAATCGAGAGTTAGGATAGGGACATGAGAGCCGTTTTGACCGATAAGGGATAGTTTCGACTTTCGACACAAAAAAAATCCTAAAGTGGAAAAATTTCGATTTTGCACACCCTATCTCTGTAATCATTATCGCTAGACCCCAATAAGTGTGATACATCGATGAAATCAGCCCTTTAGGGAAAATCTGAAGATGCAATGGAATATAGGATTATCCATTTGATATAACAAAGTTGCTACTACCTTTTAATAGACAAAGACAAGATTTTCCACGCCAAAAATTATCGAAAAGATATGTCGCTCGGTTTTCCAGATACGTCTAATGTTCCATCCACCGTGAAACACCTCGTACATATTTTGGCTGTATCCCGAATTCAACTAGTCAGTACTGCCAGTAAATCCACTGACTCCGCTGAAAATCCGTGGTCCAAAATATAAAATCAAAAATACAGTGCTGTAATTCGGGATATTTTTTCGGGGTTTTCATCAGTAATCAGCAGCAGTTGATCAGCTGGTAAACTTTGTCGGTTTTCACAGGTCGTATCTCGGGTTGTTTCAATAACAAGCATTTTCTGTTCATTATCAATTTATTTTTGAAAAAACTACGGAAATAAATGTGACATTCCTTCCCCCTCTAATATAATGAGTTTACTGAAGCCACACTACCTTTTGATAGTCAGCAATTTCAGCAGAATGTTGAGTCGGAATATTCGGAATGAATAGTATGTCTGCTCCAAAGTATCTGCCACTTTCAGTAATTTTTCTGATTTCGGAATGAAAAATCAGCAGATTCAGTAATGTCAGTTGAATTCGGTATATAGCCTTTGTTGCTGCATCTGTATAAATATAATTTAGATTAATGGCTGTTTATAGCGGTTACGTTATCATTGTTGACAGTTCAATAACGCACCGTAATAATTATCATTGTTATTATTTTATTGATATTTCACTATCAAACGCAGCAAACCGATGTCCGATCATCGCTTCAGCTGTTTCAATGAATTATACAGGGTGTTAGTGAATAAGTGAGACAAACTTCAGGGGGTGATTCCTTGTGATATTTTAGGAAATAAAGTTCATATAAACATGTGTCCTAACTTGCTTCATTTTTGATATATACAGGATGTTGAAGTTGAAAGTATTAATTGTTTCAATTTATATCGCCCCTGTATAAGTTTTCATGGTGCCAAAATTCAGTATGGTTGGAGACTGAAAAAGTACCATAATTTCAAAATGATTCTCATCGAGGTTACTGAGTAATCTCAATGAATGGTTCGAAAGCACCTACATTAAAATTTTTAGTCAAATCGTTTCGTTTCCTCAAATACTAAGCAAGATACAAAAGAAACACAAAGGATGATTAAACAGATATTTCAATTGTTCAAACTAATATAAATATGGAAGTCAGAAAAACCAGTGGCGTATAATGATATTAACCGTAAATATCGATAAATCAACCCACTGTTACGCCACTGAAAATATTTTTCCGAATTTAATCACATCAAACGAAGCTCTATGTTACATTCAACAAAACCACCAAGTTTCATCGAAATTGGTAAAAAGACATTTGAGTAATGATTTAAATAACGATTTTTCATGGAAATATATTAGTACGCTGTATCTCGAAAATGAAGCAAGTTAGGACACATGTTTATCAGAACACTGTTTTCTAAACTATCACAAGAAATTACCCCCTGAAGTTTGTCGCACTTATTCACTAAAACCCTGTATACTTACAAGGTCGAACAACTAATCTTCAATCGCCACTAAAATTTAAAAAACGAATTTTTCTAGAATTTCGAATGTCAAGCATACTGGACATGTTCATCACCCTTACTACTAACACCTTCAACCTCAATATCAAAATCATATAATTCCACTTTGAGCATTTTGGCTATTTCGGTACTTGAAATAACGCCAGTCGGGCAATCAGTCACTCCCATATGGAGGCGCCTCTGCGGAAATATAATGCTGAATGTATTTTTGTTCGGTCAGGTTTCGCATAGTTAGCGGTTATGGGACGGCAGACTAGTGACTACCCTACTCTGATGAGGGCCAAAATCCGGAAAGCGGTCTGTAGGTATCAAGCGTTAACTTGGCTACAATCTAAAAACAATCGGCATTGAGGAGAAAAAAAACACTCGCGTCAGTATTCGTTTATACGAGTCGATGCATAGGTTTCGGAGACTCAATTCAGGAAAGTAGTTGTTTTTCTCCCGTCATATACCATTGTTGTTCATTTTATGAACATTTGTGTAGTAAGTATTTAGAGTCAGTAGACAGTAAATCAAAAGTTGAAAAATCTCGATTTCGAACACCCTATATCTCTGTAATCATTCCCGCTAGACCCCAAGTGTGATACATTGATCAAATCAGCTCTCCAGGGAGAATCTTAAAACAGGGTGTTCCATATAAAAAAAATCCAATAGTACCCTGTAGATCGTTTGTTCCGAGCACCCTGTATTTTCTAATGTAGCAAAAAAAACTTTATCGAAAGTCATTTGAGATGATATTTCAAATTTTGAAATCGGTTCAAAAATAACTGAGCTAGAGGGGGGGCCATTTATGGTGACTTCGGTGACTCGATTGAAGTAAAGAATAATAAGTACTTCAACTCTCTTCCTATTAACCCCCTCTATAATTTTCATAGGGAATAAGGGTGATGTTATATATCATTGTAGAGCTGGTTCAATTCTGATACCAGCAGTGCAGTTTTTTGAATTGCAACAAGCCATTCTCGAATATCGAGATTTACGATGTGGATTATTGATTTGGTATACGCAACAATGTTCAAAATGACCTCCATTGAATACCAGTAATAAATTCCTCTTGTACATTTGGAAATTCCTCCTGCACCTTTGAAAACTCATCTCTAGCATTGAGTATTCAGTGTACATAATCAAGGTCTCTAGTTATTTCCTGGCCTCAATCCGTATTCGTCTTTCTAAATCGTCCAGATCACTAGGTTCCATTTCATAGATAACAGATTTCAAATGACCCCAAAGAACGTATAATCATTGGGTGTCAAGTCCGGCGAGCTTGCATTCTATTGGTCCTCTACAAAATATCCATTTGTTTGGGAAATTTTGAAAAAGTCTGAAGACAAGGTACGCCTAGGAACCAAACTAGCCAATCAACATTAGTTAGTATAATTGGTGCCATTGGTGGTAGCCAATGAGATACGGCTTCTTATATAATCAGCGATTTCCAGTCCACGTTGACTGCAGATCAGGATAACTCATCATTAAATATTTCTTTCATTCCTATTAGAATGTAAAGTAAACTGGGAAAATAATTTAACACTCAAATATCTCAACTGACTTTGTAAATCAATAAGGAAAAAGCCAAATACTCAAAGCGGAATGCAATGGTCACGAAGAGAAAGAAAATCAAAGTCTTTGCCACAATAGTTCATAAAATGCCACGCAGAACATTGAATTACATCCTCCCGAAATCTATGCAATAATTCGTATAGACTAATGAAATCGCAAGTGTTTCCTTCCTGGGCAACCAGAAACTCCCATTTCACCTGAAATAGAATCTCGTTTTGGAGTGTTTCTTTCCGGAAGCATTCGGCGTTCGCGTTCATTTCAGGACGTTGAACGCATTTACGTTGGGTCAAATTCGCAATGGATAGTGGTCAAGAATGCTACCTGGGACAGCCCTGCACTGATGGGAGCAAACAGCTCGAAACCGGTCTGCAGGTATTCACGCGTCCCTGAACCCATTAGGCGCAGCTAGGCGTTTATGTAGGAAACACTTGCGATTTTATTCATATACAGTTGAACATTTTTTATATTTTTTGACCTACCCTGTATGCTGTTTGATTTGCAACAATTTTAAGTGCACCTAAAATGATCACTGAACACCAACTTTCAGCACTATATGTATTTTGGTTGTGCAATTCTAAAAAGATTCCCATATGTTGCACACTTAAATGACCACACTGTATATGAATTATTGCATAGATTTCGAGATGATGTAATTCAATGTTCTGCGTGGCATATAGCCAGGAAAGTAGTTGTTTGTCTCTCGTTATCTACCATTTTCGTTCATTTGATGAACTATTGTGGTAATGACTTTGAGTTTCTTTCTCTCTGTGACTTTCTAAATACTCTACCTGAAGTTGATCTTTAGATTCACCAGTACGTTTTTATTGCAGACTTTCAATGACCTACCGGAACCATGGCCAACCGAGACCGCCCAACCACCTGACCGCCCGCCGCTGAACCACCCCTAACCAAGATGTAACTCAAGGCTGACGCGATCTGCCGCACCAGTCGCCCCCGATGGGTGCCAACATGGGCAAGAATGCATCGCTTCTGGACGCTCTGCCCTCGGGCCAAGGCACCCTGCACGTGGTGATGCTGGGGCTGGATTCTGCCGGTAAAACCACCGCCCTCTACCGGCTGAAGTTCGATCAGTATCTAAACACCGTGCCCACGATAGGGTTCAACTGCGAGAAGGTCAAGGGAATGGTGGGGAAAGCCAAAGGTGAGATGGTTTATTTCGCTTTATTTGCAAGATACAATAGAAATCTTCCCAGAATTTGGCATCTTGCTTCTTGTAATGATTATTTGGAGGAGATTCTATTTGGGATAATCTATTTCTACAATTCTGCTTGCTATGACCTGTGGAACGTTTGTCTGTTCTTGATGCGAAGGTTGCTTCGAGAAATGTCGCTTATTATCCCATTTTGTGTCTTCAAGAAGGTTCGATTTGATGAAGTAATGAGAACACCTCAATGTTCAATGGCCATCACCATTGGTTCATAGCTTTCAGGAGTCCTTCAAGCACCAAGAAGTTCTTCGTCGACAGTCTTGTTGATTGAATTCAACTTCTGGGAAATATTCATGAATTCGTTAACATAATCTTCCATTTAATTCTCGAGCTTCATAGAACAGAGTATGTTCTGAACAATTTGATTCGCCTATTGAGTCCTTTATCTTCGTGAGTTGATTGCAACTTTGTCCAAACATCTTTAGCTGTATTCGCAACCCTGACATGAGAATAACAATGCGATTGAACCATAAGGCATATTTTAATTGATGCTTTCTGGTCTTTTCTAGCTTTAACCAGAATTGTTTCTCCCTCAGGATATCCAATGATACTGTACCACAGATCTTCATGTCTGAGGAACATACTCATGACAAAAGACCAATCATTATAGATATCACCCCTTCGTAGTTTTTCGAAGTAGGGCTAAGAACTCGACGATCATTCTACTGAAATAGTAGCTGGTGTAGTTGGATCAGGCATGTTTCAAAGAAAAAATCTAATTAGCAACAAACAGTCAATTCGTATTGTTTAGCTTCAATCTAAACAGTACATATTGGGCCCATAACCTGTTTGAATATAGGCAATGGAGCCAAAAACTGATATTTTAACAAAACTGGAGAACTAACATCCGATTTCCTTTCAGGCGTCAACTTCCTCGTCTGGGACGTCGGAGGCCAGGAAAAACTCCGTCCGCTGTGGAAGTCCTACACGCGCTGCACCGACGGAATCGTCTTCGTCCTCGACAGCGTCGACGTCGAGCGCATGGAAGAGGCCAAGATGGAGCTGGCCCGCACCGTGAAAGCCCCCGAGAACTGCGGCGTTCCTGTCCTCGTCCTGGCCAACAAGCAGGACCTGCCAGGCGCCAGGGAGCCCCGCGAGCTCGACAAGCTACTCGGCCTGACGGAGCTGGGCAGCAGCCACCTATGGCACGTGCAGCCCGCATGCGCGATCACTGGGGACGGGCTGCACGAGGGCCTCGAAGTGCTGTACGAGATGATACTCAAGCGGCGGAAGCTGGCGAAAGAGAGAAAGAGGAAGTGTAGATAGGGAGAGTGCGCGAGCTCGAGACGCTGCGTGGTTTGACAGACACCTGTTGCTGTTTATGATTCAGTAGAGGTAGGAGGAATGCACATAGGCCACATAGGGAGTGCTGTGAATTCGCGTGTGCACGATTACCGAGAACAGAGACCTGCGCGGAGTGTGCGATCTCGTTAGCTCGAGACGCTGCGTGGTATGAGGAACATCTGTTGCTGTTTATGATTCAGAAGAGGTAGGAGAAATGCACATAGGCCACATAGGAAGTGCTGTGAATTCGCGTGTGCGCGATTACCGAGAACAGAGACCTGCGCGGAGTGTGCGATCTCGTTAGCTCGAGACGCTGCGTGGTATGACGAACACCTGTTGCTGTTTATGATTCAGAAGAGGTAGGAGAAATGCACATAGGCCACATAGGTAGTGCTGTGAATTCGCGTGCGAGCGATTACCGATGACTGAGACCTGCGCGGAGTGTGCGATCTTGTTATCGCGAGATGCTGCGTGATATGACGTACACCTGTTGCTGTTTATGATCCAGAAGAAAAAGAAATTGATCAGAGAAACAAAATGCACACAGAGAGTGCTGTGAGTGCATTGAGAACTGAAGGCTGTCCAAGGCGCGCGAGCGTGGCGAACTCAAGAAGCTGCTAGGCTGGTTAGACATATGTTGCTGTTTATGATCCAGAAGAGGTGGAAAGTTACGATTGACGAAGTAGCACATAGGGAGTGCTGTGAATTCGCGCGATCACTGAGATCTGCGCGGAACGTACAGACCTCGCTATCTCGAGAAGCTGTGTTGTTTGACGGTCACCTGTTGCTGTTTATAATCCAGAAGAGGTAGAAAATACGAAGTAGCGAAAAGGGAATGCTGTGAATCCACGAACTCGCGACGCTTGTTATGATGGGAGAAGAAGAGGAAGTGCAAGCTGTTAATGCGCTTGTGCGCTGTTACCGAGAATGGAGCCAGCGATGGGCTGTTTTTGATCCAGAAGACGTGAAAATTGGCAGAGGAGAGGAAGAGGGAGTGCTGACAAGGAGTGCTGTGAAGGATGAATGTATAAGATAGTTTGAATTAGGATTCTCTAGGGGAATTTTTACGAAACACGACGCACAATGGTTTTATTACTTTGCTAGGGTACATGTTCTGTGGGGTACATTTCGAAGCCAAAACTAAAACTCAACGTTGGCAGCTAACTGTAGCCAGAGCCGGATAAGTCGAAAGATAAAGTAGGTAGTTGCCTATATAGCCCCAGTGCCTCTTCTGAACCCCAGGGCCCGAATAAAAATATATAGTTACAATTACTGGAGAAGATAATTGTGCTACTTTCTTACATTGATTGAGAGTGTGAATTCTATGACTTTATCCGAAAAGGAATGTGAAATATAGTTCAATGAAGATATGTAAATTTTTTGAAAAATTACGAACGTAAACGAGCATATGAATATAAAAAATAACAATATCATTCAAAATTTCGAGACTACTGCGCAACTCTTGGCGTCGAATTTCATAACCTTAAAATTATGATTGACGTTTCGATAGTTACTTGGTGTCCGCCAAAATTATTCCCATTTCTGAAGTCTTTTTATTATAATGGCAAATGAGGATGGCCCACTGATTGATCGCATTTAGTTTTTATACTTAAAATACCATCAAAATAAATGATTGATTTTTATACTAGTCAAGTTTTGTTCGAGTGCCAAAATATCAAATTCGTTGAAATTCTGCAGGTGGCTTAAAAACTGAAAATGCAACAACTTTTTCATTCAACGTTAACAAGTAACAGCAGAAATCAAGAAAACACATTTTTCCCTTGAAAGTCACTGCATATCTAGTGAGAACGTGATGCTCATGTTGTATCTTTTGTTGTTATATCAATAGCCGCTATGATGGAGTGTTTATGAACTGTCAACATCGCAGTGGTTTATGACATCCAAAGGCATTTACTTACTAATAACACTACGAGGTTTTTTGAAATTTAGAATTTGGCTCCGAATTATATTCCGATGGAATAGAATAATATCAAGTATAAGTATTTACATAAAAAATTGCGAAAATGTGAAATAGTGTGTTTTGTGAAGGTTTGCCTGATTTTATAGTGTTTTTAATAATTTTTGCAACTGAAAACGAATTCTACATGGTACAAAATTGAAGTAAGTCAATTGCAATTTAGAAATTAGGATAACGAACTCGAATTCAATAAGGCAGAGCCTAGTGATATACATTTTAGATACAAAATTTCCAAATCCATTCACAAATTCCGTATATGGTAGTCCTGTACGCGAGGGTGTACACCTAACTATAATGCTATATCACAAAGAGAGAAACTCAAAGTCATTACCACAACTAGTTCATAAAATGAACGACAATGGTAGATATCGAGAGGAAAACAACTACTTTCCTGGCTATATGCCACGCAGAACATTGCATTACATCCTCCCGAAACCTATGCGATAGTTCGTATAAACGAATAAAATCGCAAGTGTTTCCTTCCTAAACGCTGAGCTGCGCTTAAGTGGTTCAGGAACGCTGACTACCTGCAGACCGGTTTCGAGCTCTTGGCTCTCATCAGTACAGGGCTGTCCCAGATAGCTTCTTGACCGCTATCTGGTGCGAACCTGACCTAACGTAAACGCATCTCAGCATTTATACCATACGAGGCGTACGACGTCTGCGAAATGAAAACGCGAACGCCGAACGCCACCTGGCAAGGAAAGAAACACTCCAAAACAAAATCCCACTTCAGCAGGTGAAATGGGAGTGGCAAGTTGCCCGACTGGCATGTTTTCAACTAGGGAAAAAGCCAAATACTCAAAGTGGAATGCATTGGTCACAAAGAGAGAAACTCAAAGTCATTACCACAACTAGTTCATAAAATGAACGACAATGGTAGATATCGAGAGGAAAACAACTACTTTCCTGGCTATATGCCACGCAGAACATTGCATTACATCCTCCCGAAACCTATGCGATAGTTCGTATAAACGAATAAAATCGCAAGTGTTTCCTTCCTAAACGCTGAGCTGCGCTTAAGTGGTTCAGGAACGCTGACTACCTGCAGACCGGTTTCGAGCTCTTGGCTCTCATCAGTACAGGGCTGTCCCAGATAGCTTCTTGACCGCTATCTGGTGCGAACCTGACCTAACGTAAACGCATCTCAGCATTTATACCATACGAGGCGTACGACGTCTGCGAAATGAAAACGCGAACGCCGAACGCCACCTGGCCTCGGCGTTCGCGTTTTCATTTCGCAGACGTCGTACGCCTCGTATGGTATAAATGCTGAGATGCGTTTACGTTAGGTCAGGTTCGCACCAGATAGCGGTCAAGAAGCTATCTGGGACAGCCCTGTACTGATGAGAGCCAAGAGCTCGAAACCGGTCTGCAGGTAGTCAGCGTTCCTGAACCACTTAAGCGCAGCTCAGCGTTTAGGAAGGAAACACTTGCGATTTTATTCGTTTATACGAACTATCGCATAGGTTTCGGGAGGATGTAATGCAATGTTCTGCGTGGCATATAGCCAGGAAAGTAGTTGTTTTCCTCTCGATATCTACCATTGTCGTTCATTTTATGAACTAGTTGTGGTAATGACTTTGAGTTTCTCTCTTTGTGACCAATGCATTCCACTTTGAGTATTTGGCTTTTTCCCTAGTTGAAAACATGCCAGTCGGGCAACTTGCCACTCCCATTTCACCTGCTGAAGTGGGATTTTGTTTTGGAGTGTTTCTTTCCTTGCCAGGTGGCGTTCGGCGTTCGCGTTTTCATTTCGCAGACGTCGTACGCCTCGTATGGTATAAATGCTGAGATGCGTTTACGTTAGGTCAGGTTCGCACCAGATAGCGGTCAAGAAGCTATCTGGGACAGCCCTGTACTGATGAGAGCCAAGAGCTCGAAACCGGTCTGCAGGTAGTCAGCGTTCCTGAACCACTTAAGCGCAGCTCAGCGTTTAGGAAGGAAACACTTGCGATTTTATTCGTTTATACGAACTATCGCATAGGTTTCGGGAGGATGTAATGCAATGTTCTGCGTGGCATATAGCCAGGAAAGTAGTTGTTTTCCTCTCGATATCTACCATTGTCGTTCATTTTATGAACTAGTTGTGGTAATGACTTTGAGTTTCTCTCTTTGTGACCAATGCATTCCACTTTGAGTATTTGGCTTTTTCCCTAGTTGATAATGCTATATATTTGCATATAATCCGAGTAAATTTTTGTGAAAATTTATAAGCAGTATCCCATTTTATCGCCCTTCTGATGTTTTTGTTGAAATAAGAAGTTCATCAGATTACGATTACTATATATTTACAAAGAATGCACAGCAGTTACAGCAGTCTGATCCCCCAATGATCACAAGGTCAGATTCAGTTCTCTCCTGAACTCCCCACAGAAAGTGAGGTTAGGTTAGGTTACTTTCTCCCAGATATACTCGCGTTCAGATTCCCTTTTCACGTTATCATTTTACCTTCATTTTTATACGGAATACATATTACAGGAAGGAAAGCTCGAAGTCATCTCCACACTTTTCAAAATTCGAGGAAAAATTCCATTCCTCTTTGAGCAAACATGGACTTCTACTAAAGATTGAATACATATTTTGTGCCTATACTGTATTATGAATTTCAATTGTAAACCATCACATGTTACATACATTGTATGCTAGTGGATTTAGAAACACCTGAACACGCGTTAATGAATTTATTAATTATACTACCATCCAGAGCCTCACCCCTCTGTAAGAGCGGGTTTATACAGGAAATAAGATAAGATAAGAATTAGAATATAATAAAATAAGGAATAAGGATATTGGTGTACCGTTTATACAGATAAATAAAATAAAATAAGAATAAACCAATCATTGCGCATTATTTTGGCAATGACTTATGTCAATCGTCAATGTCAACTTCAGTTGGGAGTTAGAATTTGTTTTTTTGTGCAGACCGGTGAACGGCGAAGATCTTATCCACTTCATCAAACATTTTATTAACGTGTTTTGAATGCTTCAATTTGAAATACAATATACAACCATCAGCGTACAAAACAAAACAAAGAATTTGAGGTTATATGACAAGTGTCGTTTTTAAATGGGCGTGTCCAATTGAAATTGCACATCGATTTTCGAATAAAATAAAATAAAAAGTTAAAAGTTGGTCAACTCTTATTTTATTCCTTATTTCTTATTTTATCTTAGTTCATGTATAAACGTTTCCATTATAATACGTATGTTGAACTTTCTTATCTTATTCCTTATTTTATCTTATTCCTTATTTTATCTTATTCGCTGTATAAACCCACTCTGAATGAGTATTGTTAGAAATGTGAAAATTTGCGATTTTGTATTGCAAATTGAATATATTTTGGTATTAATCTCTGGTAGAAGTCCATGTTTGCTCAGAGTGGAGTGAAATATTTGAAAGGAGGAAGGAAAGCTCAAAGTCATCTCCACAACTTCAATAATGATGTAGTGAATCAACGGGACATGTTTCGGACTTATTAAAGTCCATCTTCAGCCGTATTTTAGAAGTAAATGGGGGTGAACATTATATGTTTTTTAAAACGGTTACCGATGTCTCTCATCATAATGTCGTGGAGGTCATAATAATAAATAATACTTAGCCGGTGGTATATTTACCTGAAATCTGTGAGCCTGGCCCTGTGTAGCCAACAGTGAAGCTACAAAAGCTCCTCCTCCTCGTAGGCACCTGTGTGTATTATGAATCTTTCCTTCATATTGTAACTTTCAAGTAGGTTTCAATCCATGCGAGAATCCATGCGAGAAGCGGCCTTTTTTATTTCGTTCTCTCGTGTGACTTTCCGAAAAATGTACTTTCTAGGTTTATTTCGAGGTTCATTTAGACCGAGTAAGGTTAGTATGTTCAGAAAAAGTATTTTCCTTTCTTCTGCATTAGGAGTGATATTTTCCTTCCTCCCTATTATAGTGGTTCCTCAATCAGTGAGCTTTTGTACATATTACTCAGAATACAAAAATTGCCAACATTGAGTTGTGTGTTGGTTCACCATAATACACTGATTATGTTTCAACTCCTACTACTAGGTACTTGTCTTTTATTTCGCACTACGACATAGCAAATACATATCAAACATAAAATATGCCTGAATAAGGAAGCAAATGAAACAAATTTCTAAAACATAAAAATTGGCGCCTTCAGCAATTTGACAATATCAACGAAATACTGATGAGTAACTTTAAAAGATGTTATGAGTGAGTTGCTGATTAGAATGAGTTGAAAAAAATTGAGTGAGTCAGGGAATCTCTGAATTATTTCGCTAAGTTCGTGAAATGATTCAATATCCCTTGTTCGATAAAATCATTATCACCACTCAACCAGTAGTTGACATAATCTTCAACCTCAATGGAATATTTTCATTTAATGAAAATATGAGAGAAAATCACAAAAATCTGAAGAACATCCGCCTGCTCGGTTATCAAACAGACAGTATTTAAAATAGTTTTCACTTGCTCTTCTTATTTTAAGATCATTTTATATTATTTACAACAAACTTAGAACATGAAACTGAATAATTTATAATTCAATGATGTGATGAAGTTGTTGTTACCCTGGGAGAAATATAATTTTCAATCTGAATGCATTTGACCTTGAATCACAACAAAAAATTCGCCAGCGGTGCATTATCTACTATACAAAATTGATGTCTAAGTTTGTTGACCCGTCCAATTAGTATATAGTGAGATGGAGTTGTTAATTCAATTCTCAATCTGAAGGTATTTGACCTTCGGTCAAAAAAAAACGCCTACTGCGCATTTTTTTTCTACGAAAGTTTCATCTGAGTTTTTGACCTCTCCCTGGCCGTCCCCGCCCTGAGAAGGGGTCCTGCATGGGCCTGCTGAAAGTGGAATGTTCATAAAAATATGTTGAATCAAGTTGCTGGAAAAAAACTAGCGACACCTTCGATATTTCAGTTTGGGCTTTATTTTACAGTAGCCCAAAACGGTTCAAAAAATATCCTCTCTATCGAAAAATTGAAAGTCATTTTCACTAATTATCAGTTTTGGTTGAATAGATGTATAGAGGGCTAATGAAGAGGCTAATGAACATAGTCCAACGGTTGAAATATTCTGAAAATATCATACTCAATTATTCAAAGAACCTGACAGGGCTGACCAGGCTGAGTATAGAAAAACCTCAATGAAAACACAAGGCAATAAATTCGAAATATTTGGAGGGCAGACCATGCTTGTTGACACCAATGAAATCAATAGATAATAATTCATTAAAAATTGGTATCTGCTGAAAACTCGTCTCGTTTATTTTCAATCAGTAATTTTTTCACAGTTTTCTCTCGAGTTTTTTGTATTCTTTCACCAAATGTTGCAATGCCCCTCAATCACATGTTACGTGATTGAATAACTGTCGAGCTCATTATCTTAAACGAATTAATGATAAAAGAACTTCTTCATGGTTTAGCCTCCTCAAGATGAGGCTGTAATTCCTTCGGTTATTCGGTAAATTTTCGACTTTTTTCAATTTGAGATGTTCCTCTCATTTTTTGGTCATATAATCTCGAGTATAATCTTCTGCAACAGTATTGGTTGCTAATCTATATTGACTCGTAAGGAAGCAAGAACCACATCCAATATACTTAACCTCTCGAGGGGAGTAATATTTTTTCCTTCCGAAGATGTAAATATATAGCTTTTTTTTCTTCAATAAGGGAACAAATGCCTACT